GAGCGTCTGCCTACGCTGGCTCGGCGTGCTGCTGGTGCCACCGCGCCTGCCTTGGACGCGTTCCAGCGCCCTGCGAGAGGACAGATGGTCCCGGCACCTGTGCAGCGACTCGGCATTCTGGAGAGCAGGCACAGGGAGGGCACTGCCACCAAGCGGCCCAGGGAAGGGTGGCCCTGCCCGGAGGGGTAGGACCTGGGGCAGCCTGTGCTGACAGGGCCTGGGGCTCAGGGCGATGCATGGAGGGGTCCCCTCTGCTTGGCCAGCTGGCTGAGAATGGGGCTTCTGCTGTCTGTGTTCAGCACACAAGGGGCACTGCCCCGGGGATGGCGAGAGGGAGGGGCACTGCCCCGGGGATGGCGAGAGGGAGGGGCACTGCCCCGGGGACGTGCCAGGTGGGGGGGAGGGAACTGGCCAGGCGAGCGGGAACTCTCAGGCTCCTTCAGTTCCAGCTCATGAGCTGTAGGGAGCGTGTGTGGGTATGAGCAAAACCCAGTGTGCGGGGGGGAGTGAGTGAGCATGCCCGGTGTGCAATGGCAGGTGGGGGTGGGAATGAGTGTGCTCAGTGTGCAATGGTGGGTGAGGGTGAGCGTGCTCAGTGTGCAATGGTGGGTGAGGGTGAGCGTGCCCAGCGTGCAATGGTGGGTGGGGTGAGTGTGCCCAGCATGCAATGGCGGGTGGGGATGAGCGTGCCCAGCGTGCAATGACAGGTGAGGGTGAGTGTGCCCAGTGTGCAATGGCGGATGGGGATGAGCGTGCCCAGCGTGCAATGGTAGGTGAGGGTGAGTGTGCCCAGCGTGCAATGGTAGGTGAGGGTCAGCGTGCCCAGCGTGCAATGGCAGCTTTGTGCATGTGCAGCCGTGGGTGTACCAGCTCTCAGCACTGCAGCAGCCGGCCCCAGAACTCAGCGCTTCCCTCCATGCCATTCTCCCTCGTGCCCGGCTCGGGGCCCCCAGCCCTTCCTGCACCCCGCAGGGGAGCCGCAGCCCAGCCATGCTCAGCGCGGACGTGTGAGGCGTTAATGTAGCGACTGTGCCCCAGGAGAGCTACAGGCGCTGGCTGGTGTGGGTCTGGTGTGTGGTGGTCACAGGGCTGCTCACAGGGGCGGAGGGTCAGCTCTGTGTCATAGGCTCTGTACTGCCAGCAGCGATTCTCCCCCCGGCAGGGCTAGGGGCAGGAGCTGCTGGAGCAGGTGACTTGGCTCTGCACGCCTGCAGCTGCCCGCTGTTCCCGGAGTGGAGCTGGCTGGGGGGTAGCTGGCGGCCGCGTGTGCTGCTTGGCTAGCTCGGTGCGAGATTCCTCCCACATACCTCGCACAGAGAGCGGGGTCACGGCGCGCAGCCCTGCAGCAGCTGCCACATTCCTGCCTGGTGGCGGAGCCTGGCCTGTTCCTGCCAGCAGGGGGCAGTGCTGCTCGCTCCCAGCCCATTTCCATGCGAGGTCCTGCCAGTGACCGGTCCCTGCTGCTCCCTGCGGCCCCGGGCGTGGGGCCGGAGTTAGGGGCAGGCGGCTGCCTGGGGTGTGGGCTTGGGGGGAGCCCGGCTGGGGGGGTGCCGGGCTCGGGGTGCTGGTTTTGTTGTTAGCGACAAAAGGGAAACTAGAACATGCTGCGAGTAGCTGGGTTCGTTCCATAGCTGGGTTCATTTGTCACTCACCCCCCAGCATGGTCTGGACTTCGAAGAACCTCGTCGAACCTTCCAGACTCTCTGAGAACGACATTTTCCTTGACCCTCGGTCACGGACCCACGGCACTCGTGCCCTCTCTCGGCTCCATGCGGTCCCTGGAGGAACCCCCTTCAGTGCGACAGGGGGCCACTCTCTCTCAGGGGTTAAGCTGTGAGCCCCTCCGCTTCCTGGAACCGCACCTCTCTGCCCTTCAGCACCCCTGTCTCTCGCCGTGGGCCCCCTCGGCGTCCCCTCGCTCTGGACTCACACACCCCGGGGCCTCCACTGCCGGAGGGAATAATGCAACCCTGAGCTCTAGACTGGAGCGACTCTCAGCCAGCGTAAAACAGGAGGGTTTATTGAACATCTGAACACAGCACAAGAAACTCTCTGGGCCTCAGGCCTGGCCTCCCTCAGCACAGCACATGTAGGTCTCACAAGCCTCCAGGTGGGCTCTGGCTGCTCCCTCTCCCCAGTCCAGAGCCCCCCTCCTTCCCGCTGGACTTCTGATATCACCATCCCCAAAGCCCCACCTCTGTCCTTTGTCTTCTATCCCAGGTAAACAGGCCACCTGGGCCTCCTCTCCTCTCAGCCTCTCCTCTCATCCCTCCTTTGTTCCCTGCTGTCCAGAACCGGCTGTGACTCCAAGCAGGGCCTCCCGGTCACCAGTCGCTGGGGTATCCATTCTCCAGACCGTTCTCCAGGGTCCCAAGTGCCACCGCTGGCCTTCTCTAACAACAAACTCCCTCTCCCACCACCTCGTTAAACCAGTAACACACAGGGAAACTGAGTCCCACCCCCTCAGCATGCAAACCATTGAAACGTGGTCAGCCAGGCCCTCGCGGGTATATAAGGGGCAGGGCGGCGCCCGTCAGGCAGTGAGATATAAGAACGAACTGAAGTGACGCGAGATCCCAGCTGCGATATTGTGAACCGTGTTTTAGTGAGTAATTGTGAAAGTGTACGTGTGTTTCAAGACTTGATGAGTGTAAGTAGAGACTAATGAAGGACATAGTTAATGAGACGCCAGAGATATGGATTGAACCCCTATCTACGCAGCAATAGCGAAGAAATCCTGTTAACTCTAGTCCTTTCGTTCAGAAGAAGTAACATGCTAAAGCTGTCACCTACCGTAACCCTAGTTACTACTGGGCCCCCCAGCGTTGGGGCACAGTTCAGTGTCTTGATGTGCGGACAGCAGAACCTCAGAGCTGCGAACACCTCGGGAATGGGGGTTGTTTGTAACTCTGAAAAACCTTTCTGGTTCTTTACAAGGGAACATTGACTTAACACAGCTTTGAAACGCTACTGAGCAGAATGGAAATGCTGCTTTCCCTGGTTTTTCACATTTAACACAGCCCTGTACTGTATTTACTTTTGTTTGGTCTCTGCCTGAGCGCACACGTCCGGTTCCAAACGAGGCGGGGGCTGACTGGCCAGTTCATAACTCGGAGGTTCTGCTCTACATTTCAGTTAGTCTGAACATTAAAAAGTTTCTATAAGCTTAGAGGAAACGATTTTTTTATTTGCTTACACGTGGTGTGAATAAATGCAGCTCCTAGCGTGCAAAGCCTAGCGTGCAAATTTATCATCTTATATGACGGGGTAAATCATGCATGCAAATGGTGCATCAAAGTCATGAAATGGGCTACAAATGCAATAAAAAATAAGGTTTTAAAAAGTTTAACAAATGGAGGCGGGGAGCCGAAGATGCTCCACACCTGGGGCACCATTTAGTCGTGAGCCAGCTCTGCTGTTGTGAACCCAAGGGAGGTGGCAATGGTAGTGGTGGGCTCTGGCTCATGGGACAGCAGAGGATAGGGAGGCAGGCAGCCAGCCATACCCCTCCTCAAACCGTTGGCTCCTGCCCATGCCATGGCCCGGTACCTGCTGCCTTGTCCAGAAACAGGCCAGCCAGCTGTGCAAAGCCACCCATGGGGGTGGGGAACTCCACAGGAAGCCCCTGCTGCTAACGGCCAGGTCCAGCACCAGAGCAGCCTTCCAGGGGAGGACTCCAGCCCTGCCCTGCTCCCCTAGCTGGCCAGGGATGGGCGTGGAGGGGAGGCAGTGGGCTCACTCCTGGCACTCGGCCCCTCGCTCTCGGTAGTGGAGGCAATGTGCTCTGATTCCAGGGGAGGGAGCGCCCCCTCTGGCCAGGCACATAGCAGCAGCGCTACCCTCCAGAGGGGCCAGCCTCAAACCCCCGCTGGCTGGAAGGACGGAGGCCCTGTGTGGAGGGATGAGAGGATCCACAGGGGACGGCAGGAAATAAACAAAGACAGCTCCTGATTCCGGCTTTGTCGCGCCCACACAGCTCTGCCACCTGTCCCTGCCCTCAGCTCTGCCCTCCCCCCGTGCGCCCAAACTCACCCCCTCTCCCTCTGGCTGGCAAGCGGCTCTTTGAGTCACTGGTGGCAGCTGTTCGGAGCCATCCTTCGCCTGCCAGAGCCGGAGCCAGGGGGAGAGGCCAGCGGAGAAGGCCCTGCCAGCCCAGGCTCCCTGCACACCTCCCTGGGCTCCCTGGCACCCTGGTGCATCGGGGCAGGGAGGGCAGGGACAGGGCAGGAGCCGGGGGCCTGCCTGAGGTGGGCTCAGAGAAGGCGGCATGGTTTGAAGGGACGGGGGAGCTGTCCGTGTTGCTCTGTCTCTGGGGCAGAGCTGTGTGGGGCGCTCTGCGGGCCCTGGTTTGTAACCCCAGGGAGCTGGAGCTGTAGAGGATGCGGGGAGCCGAAGGCCCTGCCGTTCACACACCACTATGGAACTGGGCCTCGTCCAGCTTGGGCAGGTGGCTGTAACCCGGCGAGCGTGAGTGTCTGGGAAACTGAGGCCCTGCAGGGACGTGCTGTGACTGAGCCCAGCGCCTAGGGCACTTGTGGGGCCCCCAGCCAGGGCAGGCTCCCTGCACGCCCCCATCCCCAGGTGGGTCTGACCGGCGCGAAGGGCTCAGTGGACGCTCTGATGCGGGTGAAGGGCGCTAGCTGCGCGTTGGCCTGTGTTAATTAGGAGCCGGTTTAACTAAACCAAAAGGAGCGAAATTGGCCGTGGCTCCGCTGGGCAGGTGTCTGAGCTCAGCCTGGCTAGCAGCCCTTGGGTTGGCACTCGGTTCCTGGTCCGGAGCTTGCAGCTGACACACAAAGGGTTAACCCTGCCCATCCCCCCACCCCCAGTGCAGTGGGCAGGGTGATATCTGACCGTCAGCCCGAGCGCTGTGTAATGGGGACAGCTGCTCTCTTCCCCCCCTGACTAATATTCCCCCCCCCCCACACGCATGCACAGCACATGTGCTGTCACTCAGCCAGACAACAGTTTTATTTTAGCTCCGGACTGGAGAGCTCCACACAAGAGAGTCGCTCCCACTCCGAGCCCTGCAGTCCCTGCCCGAGGCGCTGACACTGCCAGCCCGGGGACCGGCCGGGATGGAAAGCCCCTGCCTTCTCACCTTCTGCCTCCTGGCGCCTCTCTGGGCTCAGGTAAGGGCAGGCAGCGGTCCATGTGCTGACGTCCGGTGCCCAGCCCCGGCTCTGCGGCAGGTGGCACCACGCCCTGGGGCAGTGGCCACCGAAGGGAGGTTTATGGAGCCGGTCTGGGGGCTTCCAGGGCTTGGGATCCAACCACAGCATCACCCCCAGGGGCGCTGGATGCTTGGTAGAGTCCAGGCCCCAGCTCAGCCCCTGCACAGACAGGATGTGAGGGGTTTAAGCCAGGACGGTGTGGAAGGGAGTCCCACAGGCTCTGGAGGGGCCTGAGGGGAAAGAATCTGCCCAAAGACCACGCTCAGCCCAGAGCCCTGCTCCCAGAGCTGAGTCCCGCTGAGTCCCGGCACATGGAGCCGGGGGGTGGGGAGAGCAGAGCACGGAAGACGGGGTCGGGGCCCAGAACCGAAAGCCTGTTGACCGGGCTCCTAGCCTGGAGCGCAGGGGGAGCAGGAGCAGCCTGGCAGGAGGAGGGGGGCTCATCCCGCTGGGCCAGCTCTCTGGGGACTCCTGGCAGGCCCATCCTGTGTACGGGTGAGGGTGGGGCGCCCCCGTATGGGGAAGGGATTGAATGCACTGGATATATCACGGGGGGGGCGGGCTCCGGTCGCCACCTCCCCCGGGAAATGCGGCTGCTGGAGATTTGGGGGGGGGGGGGGGGGGGGGGCTGCAGCAGTTCTTGGGCAGTTGATGCTGTTGTGAAACCAGATCTGTGCAAAGGGGCTTTCGAGGCATCACGCCTCCAGGTGCAGACCTGCTGCTCCCCACGCGGTGACAGAGCGTCCTTAACCCGAGTGTCCAGGGTCTCATATTGGGGGCCCTCACCACAGTGTCTGGGCATCTCTGACAGGTGGGAGCCCTCCTCCCCAGGCACATCCCCCCTGTAGTGTTAGCTCTTGTGTGTTCAGTGCCTGGGGCTTTGGGGTTCTGGAATGAGCCCCCAGTTCCAGGCTTCTGCAGCGTGTGTGTGTGTGTGTGTGTGTGTGAGATCTACTAATTGTGCCCAGGCGCACCAGTAACAGCCCAGGACTCCATAGTGCCAGGCACTGTACGTTATTAGGTGTATTATGGTAGTGCCCAGGACCCCATGGTGCCAGGTGCTGTATGTTATTAGGTGTATTACGGTAGTGCCCAGGACCCCGTGGTGCCAGGTGCTGTATGTTATTAGGTATATTACGGTAGTGCCCAGGACCCCGTGGTGCCAGGCGCTGTACAAACACAGAGCAAGACAATCCTGGCCCCACAGAGCGTAGTGGTTTGTGTGTGCACCAGCCCTGAGAAACTGGGGCTCCTCTCCAGGCAGGACCCCACTGGGAAAGGGCCTTTGACACAGGGCTTAAGGAGCAATTAACCCCCTCTCAGAATCCTGCTGCGCCCCCAGGCCCCAGCATCCCTCAGCGTGCCCCCAACTCCCCCTCTCCCCACTCCAGCCTGGCTTCCCGTTCCTTTGGCTAACATTGCTGGTCCCCCCGGGGCTGGGAGCAGTTCTGTAGCTGGGGGCGGGGCCGTGCCCTGGTGATGGACAGGCAGGTAGGCCGACAGCTGGTGGGAGCACTCCCTCCCGGCCGGCTCCAGTCAGGTTTCCTAGTCAAAACAAGCCCCCTCCGCCCGCCCTCCCCAGGGAATGGCAGCTGGGCCAAAGCAAAGCAGAGGGAACTGAACAAGCTGAGCCGGGCGCTGTCAGGGCCTCGCTGCACCACATGGGCCCCGCTGCACAGTGCCTGATCCCCGGCTGGGCACACACCCAGGAAGCAGGAGTGGGCACTGCAGAGCCACCAACAGGCTGCTAGCCCCACCACTGGCCTGAGCGGAGAGCATGGTGCCAGCGTGCCTGGCCCGTCAGCGGGTCACCTACATACACGCCTGCATCCACAGTCACCTCGTCCACAGAGACAGCCGTGCGCTGTGCGTTCACACGTGCAGATAGTCACCGTCACCTTACCACACGCACACTGTGACATAGACTATCCCTGTGTGCACACACACGCCCATGTGGCCAAAATCTCTCGGTAGCACCCAGGCAGTACCGCTGCGGTCAGGCGGGTTTCCTGTGCTGTACACGCGTGCGCACAGAGGAACCATGGCAGGAGGGCTTTGGCTGTCTGGGAGAGGCGTCTGTCTGCTGCGGTTGTGCGGATCCGGTGGGGCGCCATGAGGATCTGGTAGAACCGGGAAGGGTCTGGTAGAGCTGGGGGGTCTGTTGGAACCAGGGGGGATCTGGTAGACCTGGGGGAGGGGAGATCTGGTGGAGCCGCAGGGATCTGGTCTAGCAGCGCATGGCAGGTTGCTAGCGGATGTTACAGAAATGTAACCAAGAGCGTTTTCCAAAGCTGATTCCTGCTGAGCTGGGTCTGGGGCAGGGCTGTGCCGAATGGAGGTGGGGCAGGAGCTGCTGGTTAAGCCCCGCAGTTCCCCCCAGAGGGGAAGGAGCAGGCGCATTCTGACCCCCAGCAGCGGGAAAGTGCACCGTAGAGCGGGAGGGACAAGCCATTCCCGCCCATCCCCTCCTGGTGGGGGCCGGCCGGAGAATGGTGCCAGGGCTGGCAAATGGCAGGAGGGTTTGGGGAGGCTGGACAAGAGGGCCAGTGAAGACTGACCATCTACGACACCCCCCCGTCCAACCATGTGCCAGGGACCCGCCTCTCCTCCTGCTCTGGGACACCACACCCCTTCCAGAGTCTGCTCAGATCCGCCCCCCCCTGCCCCCGCCCCAGGTAGGGGGTGGCCCAGCCCCATAGCAGTGGGCGTCATGCTGCCCAGCTGGAGTCAGTGACAGGTGTGAAATGTGAAAAAGCTGTCGGCGGGGCCCCACACAGCCTCGCTGCTGCCCCTCAATCCCGACCCAGGCTCCCCTCCACCTGTCCCAGGCCTCAGCTCCCCCTACACCCAGCTCCGCCGATGCCCCTCAACCCCAACCCCCCGCCGCCATTCCAGCCTGGCACCTCCGCTGCAGACCAACAATTTTGCCATGTTACACGTGGGGATTTTGTGACCGAGTTTTGGGACTAAGCTGAACTGCCCAGTCAGTGAGGCCAGACGCAGCCAGCCCAGCGCTAACCCCTTCCTCTCCTGCAGCCACCATGACAGGAGGCCTCTCTGGGCATGTCTACACCACGACACACACCCGTGGCTGGTCCCAGAGCCTGGCCTCCAGCCCAGGCCCTAATGTCTGCACAGCAATTGTAGCCCCAGGAGCCCCAGCCCGTTAAGCCGGGCCAGCCACGGGTGTTTTACTGCCGTGTAGACAGACCCTATATCTCCAGTGGGGGGGAGGGGGCAGGCAAATGGCCCCAGAGTCAGGCCAAGGCTGCAGAGAGTGGCCCAGTATCGGGGAGCCCCGCTTCTTCCTGGCAGGACGGTGAGCGTGGCCCAGCTGCCGTCTCCCCGCTGCAGCTACGGGGACAGCGATGGCAGCTATTTATACCCCCCGCCCAGGCGTAGGGCCCCCCCCGGGACATTCCCAGCATTCCTCCGGGCTGCCGTCCCGGGAGCGGAGGCACTGTGGGAACCAGGCTCGCACCTTGGCAGTGCTGGGCCGTTCCCAGGGGCTGGGCTCTGCACTCAGGCAAAACAGTACCCAGTGCACTCACCACACAGCCAGCCTGCTGCCCCATCCCTCCAGCTCCCTCGGGCAGGGGGCTGCGGGCTGCTAGCCACCCGCCTCGCTGCCTCGGTTGGTGCGGGGCCCGGAGCCAGCACAGGCCCCTCGGGAAGAGTTCCAGTGCGAAGGAAAATCCAGCAGGCAGGACGGTACTGCCACACGCAATGCCTAGACCCCATGACCTGCAGCGTGGGCCTCATCCACCGGCCATGCCTGGCCCAGCATGCACGGGGAGGCTATGGAGTGGGCCAGGCTAACAGGCTGGGGACGGTGGGTGTGCAGGGCCAGGTATGAGTGTGCGAGGGGGCGGGGGTGTCTCCGTGGGAGGGGTGTCCACGCATCTTGTGGTTATAGCCAGTGTGGGGCTGTGTTTGCCCAGCTGTCCCACTGGAATCCCAAACAGGCCTGAGTGGGGAGCGTGTGTGGCTATTTGGAAGGGTCAAAGGTCAAATTCATGCTAGCTCTAAAAATGTCTCCTCTGAGCAAGGAAATTAATCACTGGTGGGGGGGCAACACCCCTCCCCCTGCTCCCTGCCTTAGTTCCCGGTGAGGGGGGCGTCTGGTCTTCTGAGCGTAGACAAGCAGGTGTGGCCAGGGAAGGGCTCATTGCTAAGCCAGGGGAGCAGAGATACAGCCAAAGCCCAGCCTCTTGTGTCCTAGTGGCACCGCACCGCCTGAGGTGCTGATCCCTCCAGCCACCGGGGCATCCCCGCATGGCAGGCTGGCCCCAGCACCGCCAGCACGGCCTCACCCCACAGTACAAAGCCAGGGCGTGGGGCAGGCCCAGGACTCCAAGACACCCCCCAGAGCTCAGTGAGGCAGCCTGGGAAGGTGTGAGGCCAGGCTGGGGAGGGACCAGGCCCTGGAGGCCTGGTGGTGGCCATCTTAGGGTGTCTCTGAGATGGGTGGCTGGGGGCGTTCTGGTTCATGGTGCTGCATTTCCAAGTTGGGTCCATCTGCTGTTGCTGGGAGAAACGTCCCCAGCCTGTGTGTGTCCCTCCATTGCTCCTGGATTTCAGTACCTAGCGTGCAGAGCCGTAGGGTCGCCTGTTCAGTCCCTTGTCCGTGCACCACACGCATGTGCGGGGCATGCCCAAGCTGTCCCCACGCTCACTGCCATGGCGGGCTACGTCCCACCGGGGTGTGCACAGTCACGGCCAGGCCCAGTCCAACACTGACACCAATGGGAGGACCCCTTGGGCATCATACTGAGCCCTAAACGGGTACCACGGGACTCTGCAAAGCTGGCCCCGCCTCCCGTCATGCCCCCCTGCCAGGAAACACGGCCCATCCTCCTTGGCCTGTGGGTGTTGAACGTCCAGGGGGTTATAACATGGCGTGTTGGCAACGACTTTGGGCCCATCTCTGGTGCATAAGCCCTAAGGACGGAGGCGAC